GGACATAGCCTCATTTCCTAGTGAGCCAAAGTGTTAGAGACTTGTGGAGACACTTTCTAAAAAATTCCATCCAGTCCTTGTATTTGCAGAGGTCGCTGGTGCTAGGCTACCATATGTCAATGGCCATAGTTAGCCTGCCACTAAAAACAGGCTTACCCACTCCACAAAACACCCAAGGCGAAACTATTATAACGGCAGACTGTCGATGTAAATGTCTGTGTCGATAGAATACTAAAACTTGCACTTGAAAGATTTATGTCTGAGCAGCAGCAGCGAATTGTACTTCCTGATGGAAAGCTTGGCAGCGGCGGACTGATATATGAGAAAATAGTCCCTCAACACGTGGCAATTCATGTGATGTAAGGTTAGTTTTATTTCAAACATTAGTCTATCAACACAGACATTTACATCAATAGTCTGGTGTAAAAATAGATTTGCTTTGGGTGTTGTGTGGAGTTGGTAAGACTGTTTTTAGTGGCAGGCTAACTATGGCCATTGACATGCACTAGCCTAGCACCAGTGACTTCTGCAAATACAAGGACTGGATGGAATATTTTAAAAAGTGTCTCCACACGTCTCCAACACTCTGGCTCACGAGGAAATGAGGTCTTACATCCAAAATTCTGAAATGTCCCTTTAAGGTCAAAATATGCCTGTTGCCTGCTGTCTGCATTTAATAAGGAAGGAATTTTTGTCCAATAATCAGGAAGTGTGTGCTAGCATGCTAGTTGTAGTTAGCTTTACTGTGCATAATGTACATGAGGAATAACTTTGGACCACCACAAACCATTTAAAATGAACTAGTTCATTAAAAATCAGGCAAAGGCGTAATTATATTTTTCTAAATGATGGAAAAGAATCTCTAACTCATTCCAAGGGTAGAGAATGGTTCTGAATACCCAAGAATGTCCATGAACGCTGAGGAAATACTGTTATTCTAGTTTGAATCATGGTCTGAAAATCTCCACAGTTACAACTCAAAATGTTACCATAGATTTCATACGGAGAGCCAACATAAGTAAAGCCCCTGTAGCGATCTTTCACACTATCCCTCCTCCTCTCACAAGGGCCACAGTGTTTAGAGTTGACACTGGCCACACTATGCGCCGTGGACATTAAAAATGCATCCAATTAAAAACGCCAGCGGAAAATAGGGCACTGTAAATGGCAACAGTCTGTGGCATGTTTTCAGCGTTGATAGGCCCTCTAAACAAATCGAGCAACTGGAGTCTTACATTACTCATTTTGGCTCAGCTCTGTTTCAGCTCTGTGGGCACAAGTTGGCAGTGTTTCGTGTTAATGTTAAATGAGGCTATACATTTGTTTCTAGCATTTAAATGTTAAGAAAATGTGCAGAATATATTAGTTCATATAGATTAAAGGGCCCACATTTCGCTATTTTCTGATCTATGTGATATCGTTTCCTCATCAAAAACATATGCAGAGTTGTGTTCTTTTCTCAAACAAAAAACTGTTCCACCTTGTGATGTCATGTGGTAATACAGGAAGAGATCCACTGTGTTTTTAAACTCCATACACCTTCAAAGAAATCATTTGGTTAATTTCAGACAGCCCTGGAATTGCCCATTTCTAAATATAAAATCTATATAAAAGATAGAAAAAGAACTACCGCTTCATGACATCACAAGGTGGAACAGAGCATTTTGAGCTTTGGAGATGTACACAGAATAATAAAGAGTTACTCAGACATGTGTGAATGAAACAAAATACAACTCCATGTATGATTATGATGAGGTAGCAGCATTAAAATGTGTGAATCACAAGAGTCATTTTTGCATAAAATAGGGCCTTTAATAAAATCCTATTCTTTTATCAGTGTGTTAATTATAGGCACAGATAGTTTTAAGATGAAATGGTTTATTTATCTTTCTGGAGGTGGAAAGTCACCTGCATGAGGCCATGGAAAAAGTTAAAACCATATACGGAACATTCGCCACGGAGATAGATAAGGTAGATAAGTCAAAGGAATAACATTTCCATGGAAAAAATCGCTTTTCCGGGCCAAGTAAGAGTCAGGTTTGTGAAGACGCAAGCCTGCTCATAATAAGGACGCAGGTTTTTCTAGGTTTTCCATTGCAATAAAGTCATCCACATTAGGGGTGTGTTAAATTATATAAAAATATATATATTATGATTGTTGTTTAAAGGTCCTATATTACACAAAGTTGAGTTTTAAGCTATGTTAGAAGCCAGAAGTTTTGTTTTGTTTCATTCATGCATTTTTAGTAACCCTTTATTTATTCTGTGTACATCTCCAAAGCTCAATGATGATTTCATTCAGTAAAGATTGGAAATTCCAGGATTTAAAACATGTGTGAATGAAACAAAACAAAAGTCCAGGTATGTTGATGAGGAAACATTATAACACAGCTCAGAAAACAGTGTAATATGGGGCCTTTTAAAATTGTAATACATTGCAGAATATCTTGTGCAATATTTGAATCATCGCACAATATGGCAAAAGCTATTATCTAACCCTGTGATCCCCAGCCTTACTTCACATCACACAAGCAAAAGATAAACTCATCTGTTGTCTCTCTCATTGCTTCCAACTGCTGTCTGTATAAAAACGTTAGCGGTGACGTCCACGGGCTAATCCGATCCTCACTAGTCTTCTATGTGTTAGCGTGCTGGTGTGGGTATGCTGTTTCACTTTGACACACTCTACACTAAGGCAGATTAACGGGCACTTTATTATTTATTTGCTACATGTATCTGCCCAGACCCAGGCACACATCCACCCCCCCCACCCAAGCCGAACTGCCACCCTCATCCTTAATCCCTGGTGGAGAGGAGAGCTGCCGCCAAACGGGACCAAGGTGGCTAATCCGGAAAAAGAGGTGAGGAGATTTGCTTTGCACTTGAATAGTCGCCGTATGTAGTATTATACAATAAACTATGGCGTCATATGTGGAGATATAAAGCTGCAATACACAAATGCACCAGGATAGTCACATAAGCAATTGAATATCTGCATATGACCTTAGTTATGAAAGATGAGTGGAGCAAAATTGTTTATTTAGCTAGAAATGCTTTCTAATGTGTAAAGATATATTATAATTTAATGGAATTTAAAGGGCCCTTATTACGCTGAGCTATGGTATAATGTTGTTTCTTCATCACAAACATATCCAGAGTTGTGTTCTGTTTCATTCACACATGTTTAACACACAAAAGCTGCATATTTAGTTAGTTCTTCTAGCTTCTCTTTTCTAACTTGTGATGTAATGTTGTGATGCAGGAAGTGCTCCACTCTTTACACCTTAAGAATCTTAACTGTAAAGCCCAATTTATGGTTGTGTGCCAAATCGTCTGTGTCGTGATGCAGAGAGTCCGTGTCCACCGACCTGCACCTTTGAATTTTTGTAACTACGGGTCAAACCGATGCAGACCGCAAGAGGAAAGCGACGCAGAAAATAAGGGCTGTGACTGGTCCTCTCTATATCCGCTCTACATACATTTCTGGTACTCCGCTTTCATTTTGTATACATGAACGCAATCCTAGCCTCTTAGTGTTGTGGTGGTGAATTACTTCACGGCGCACAGACCCCGACGCAGATCCATAAATCAGTGTGTGTTGAGTCACTAAGAACTATAATTTTAGTCAGGCTGGCGCCACCTAGTGCCTCTGCTCAATTTCATTTCTCTCCAGCGACTAGGTCAGGAATCAGAATACACTAGACGGTTTGCAAGAACCCCAGAAGTGCGAATCTGGGCACCAGCCAATCATCGAAGAGCCATACATTCTGTGTTGGCAACGAATCCCGAGATCAAGGATTTAAAGCCGGAACAAAAGGAATGTTTGGTGAATTTTATCAAGGGGTAAGATGTTATTGCCCTTCTTCCTATGGGATTTGGGAAAAGCTTAATATACTAGTTAGTCCCATTAGCAGCGCATTGCATACGTCACGACCAAATAGCGGCAATTGTTTAAATTTTTAAAAAGTATCCGCCTACCGTCGAGCGAACGAATTCTAATGCTGCGAGGTCAGACGGTTTCCACAAAGTGAAACTGGTTGATGAATCAGGCTAGGTTTGAATAGGGCCTGGGAGAGATCTCTAGATTACTCAGTCATGCATGGATGCCATCTAAAACCTCTTCAGGCATGTTTTTGATGAGGGAACAATGCTATAATGTTATAAATATTTAGTAGAAAAGCTCCAAAAATTCAAAGTTGCATAATACCCCCTCTTAATTAATGGTAAAAGTGAAGAGAAAGCATTACTGGAGGATAGTGTCAACTGTAAATAAAGCAAAAAATGATGTATTATGTCCCTACAGGGCTGCCATAAGTATGTAACATTACGGTATTGCTTTAAACAAAACAATATTGTGTCAGATTTATATAGTGCTTTTTTGGCCGCTTGTCACAATCACTAACTGAACAAACTGAACTTTTGTTATTAAACACTATTTCTTGCAAAAGTTCATTACATAGTTCCTTTTTCAGACTGTGTAAATATTCAGCTTTTAAGCAATATATCCTGAAAGAATGTGAAAAATACTCCCCAAAAGAATTTAATAAAAACAGCTGAAACTAGTGCTTTAGTGCAATATTAGCCGTGACTCCACCAGCCCTGCATCTTTTCAACAAATGCTTCCCTAATCAAAGCCTGCTGCGTGTATTCTTTGCTCCAACTGTTGACACTGGCCACAGGCTCTTCGGTACGGACTGGCTTTTTCTCTTTTTTTTTCTTCCTTTCTTTTTTTTTCTCTCTTTCAACTGAGCCAAACAGGATCCTGCACAACTCCTCATAAACAGCAGCTGCAGCCTGCTCTGTTCCCAGTTCCGCAGGAGGGTCCAATCAAAACCAGCCACATTAACTGCTTCACTTTGCCTTTGCGTGCCAAGTCTGCGCCGTTACGGAAAAAAAAAAAAAAAAAAAAAGAAAGAAGAAGGAAGGAAAATCCGGCGGGCTTGCGTGCGCTACATGACAACACCAAGGAGCAGCCGATTCAGAACGCCAAATCTGTTTACCTGGATGAACTTTGACCCCTTCCTCGGTGGTGCTTCCTCTTAAGGTGGGCGCCCCTCCCCCGCCCCGTGCTTCATGTATTCCTCACGCACACGCTCTCTCTCGCTGACCTCTTCTCCTGCTTCTTCTTCTCAAGCCGTGATCTGAGGAGAAAGAAAAAAAAAGGAGAAGGACGTTAGGTCTGTTGTCATGGACAGCCAAGAGGAGCTGGTTCAGACAGAGGACAAATGGATCACGCATAGACAGACGCGCACAAAGACCGGTATGAAAATGTATGCAGGCATCTTGCTAGGCGGCCGTTTTTGTTCAACCTCTTCACCTGATTTTATTACCCGTATCTCCAAAGTCAGAGGAGGTTTAGTATTGCCTTTGACATACACTGTAAGTATAGTATAGCAGTACTGATATGTTTTACCTTGTGACATTTTTCATAAAGACGACTTTATGTACTGTTGTTATGATACTAAAATTTCATCTTGATTTCGATACTACGGAGCAGACTTGATACTCAATACAGATTCTGATGATAATAAAACACACACTTTAGTCAGAAGAAGGTGATTTTCAACATTCAATCATAGTACTTTCTTTTACAATATTAGTATTTTGGTCTTATATCTGTGTAATCCCTCAGTGGCCCATGGGTGTATACTAGTCTATGTACTCTAATATTTGTTCTGATACAGCTCAAGATCATTCTAAAGCTACTCAGGAAGGGTTCATTTGACTTTTTTGTATCGATACTTGCCCTAATGACTATCTAGTTTGGATAATAGTTTTAGGATCGATTAGTACCTGATTGCGTGTAATAAATAAATCCTCTGTGGCATTTTCAGAAAGGTCAGTCATGTGCAAAGATAGGAGTAACAATGGTAACTTTATTATATGGTCTTTTTGGAAATCAGTTGGAAAGTCCTGGCTGGAAGGTCCCCAAGCTGGAAAGTCCCCCTCAATTGTACCCTTTATGAATCTAAGTTAATCTACATGCATACTAAAAAAAAATCATTATATATTGTATTAATTACACACGCAAGTTACAATATATCTCAATATCCATACATACAAACACTGCCTCAGTTAGGGAAGATCGTTAAAATGACATAAACAAGGCCCGACAATTGGTCTCGCTGGATTCACATTTCATTTTATAATGATAGAGAATGCTGATTTTTTTCACTCAGTACATCACATGACGTGGCCTACTAAAGGTCGGCGAGCACGTACCCACTCTCCCGGGCCTAGCAGTTACCCATGTGCTGCACAAGAGAAGGGGGCGCCAAGAGGGAGGATAGGATGCTCGAGCCAGGGGGGAGGTACGAACCAGTATTCTTTTTATTTTATTTTTTATGTTAACTAAAGGTACACTGCAAAAAAGCTTGGCCAAAATTTAAGATACCTCTAGACTACAATTAAGCAGTCTCAGAACTAGTAAGTACGTAATAAATCTGAAAACAAGATGAATAGCCTGATGTAAGTTTTAAAATCTTGGCCAGATCAGAGAAATGTTCAGTGTAGCTTTTAGTTTAGGGCCCACCTGTGAGTCACTAACACTCTTTATGAAGAATGTAAAGTATTGCTAATAATGTTAACGACCAGTTTTAATGGAAAGATAATAGTTACTGGCTGAACAGAATATAATATGGCCTTAGTAGGGATGTAACGATATCTAAATCTCTCTGTACGATATTATCACGATATGCATCTCACGGTACGATATTTATTGCAATATTTTGATATGTCAAATATAATTGTAGATGAGACACTTTTTTGCTTTTAAAACACCTTGACAAGATTTTGTGTGAATTATTACTGTCAGAATCCCAAGAATTCAAGTAAAAAACATGTTTCTTCATGTTGTCTGCACTGAAATGAATCATGGGATATGTATTTCCCGAGGTTTATTATTAGTTCCTACCAAAGAACAATGCATTTAAGCAAAGGAACTTGTGATTCGATATATTGTGACAGACCACAGTATTACTGTGAGACTTCTGATGATATATCACGATATTTTGGTTATTGTTACATCTCTAGGCTTTAGACAAAAAAAAGTAGCAGTAGCAGCAGGAGCAGTAGTAGTATATTAATAGTAGTAGTAGTGGTGATTGTAATTATATTATTGATTTGTTGGTTTGTACATTTGTTGCCCCCAAATGTATGAAGATTTTTTTTTTTTTTTGTTACAGTGAATGATGTTTTTGTGTTTACCCCTGAGCTAAACTCATGTTTCAAGTCTTGCTGCAGTGGTCACAGGCATGTATTAAAACATCACTACTAAATCACTATCAAAAGAGTATTCCAGGTAGGTCCTTTCACTGACAGCAATATGTCTCTCCAAGGCCACTGTAGCTCATACATGATCTACAATAAGAAAAGGCACAGTGCTCGCGACCACACCAGCGCTATTAAAACATACACACAACCTCTTATTGTTTGTCCACACGTCTCATATGAAGCTATGTATTTGATTTAGCTCAAGTAGGGGGACCAATGATTCCCAAATGATAACAAAAATTGAATAAAACGCCAAGCCGCTGGTTCAGACAGAGGACAAATGGATCGCGCGGGACGCCACACACGGGCTGAAAAATATATGCGGAGAAATCCATGAGGGAGTTTGCTCGGCTGGCCCATTTACTCCTACCTCCTAACCCTGCCTGAGAACCAATGAACCAATGAACAACTGCACCTCCCATCACAGCGCTAGCCCACCCTTCCCCACACGCTCTCCCCGCATAAGGGACCCCACCCCCCTGGCTGCACCGGAACAATGTCCTTCCTAAAGGTTATCTGGAGCTCGGGCGCTTGGTCGGCCCCTCATCCCGAGTCCATTACACACGCGGAGGGGCCAGATTCTCGGCTTTAATACACCTCTTTTAGTCTCTCCTCACTGCTTCCCTGGCCAGGCTGACACAAAGCCACTATAGGCTCAGAGAAGCAGGCATAGGCACATGGAAGGGAATGGGATAATCAAGAGCTGCCATTTATACAGTTAAAGAGTCCATGTTACGCTATTTTCTGATCTATGTTAGAATAGTTTCCTCATCACAAACATATCTGAAGTTGTGTTTTGTTTCATTCACTTCAACCCTGCGTATTTAGGATGTGTTCTTCTCTCAAAAAGAAAACACTATTACAGGAAGGGGTCTACTGTGTTTTTAAATTGCACCATCACTAAAATCATTTGGATGATTTCAGTCCTGGAACTGCCAATCTCTAATGAACTAAAGCTAAAAGGTAGCAGTTAACTTGAGAATGACCGTTTCATGACATCACAAGGTGGGACAGAGCATTCTGAGCTTTGGAGATGTAGACGTAGATGTAGGGCCTGTTTACACGAGAACGGCTGCGGGTAAAAATGACAAAATATTTTATCGGAAGTGCCTTTCGTTTAGACAGTGATGGCATTTTGGGGGCTTAAAAACGCAAAAATCTGAAACCATCCTTCAGAGTGGAAAAGCTGAATAAGCTCCGCTGTAGTGTTTCCGTCTACACTGCCCTAGACGCAAAACTCTGGTCAGATCTGCTCACATCATGTATGTGTTTACGTCACATACATCACCACCTAACGTCTTCACCTGGCCATCTGGCATGCATACCCATTCGAATTCCACACACTTTTGCGTCACCGTATGCATGCAGATTTCCTCCCAAAAACGCTCATCTAAACGCGGATTAAAAAGTGAAGATGCGACGCCACTTTTGTGTATAGACCATCGTCAAATAAATGTAGCCTAATAATAAAGGATTACTCAAACATCTCTGAATGAAACAAAACACAGCTCCGGGTATGTTTTTGAGGCAGTAACAACATTCTAATATGGCTTAAAGCTCTCAAGATTTCAATTTTGTGTGATATAGAACCTTTGAACCTACACAACGCTTCGTTTCAAAAGCAGTTTGGCGTAAATGTCACATGAAACTGCAAAGAAGGTTAAAGGAGATGTGATGCCAGTGACATTACTCAGTATTCATTGGCACTGGGCAGGTACTTAGAAACAAGAGTCACTAAATACCCTTATTTTCTTGAGTAGTCGGAAGCTGCTTCAAATCGCTCTTTTAAGAATTAAGAGGACTAGTTTCGCTTTTCCCATATGTACCCTGAGCAAACTATTGCAATGCACATATGACCTTCATGATATATTTTTTAAATGTACAATACCATTCAAACATTTGGACACACTATCTCATTCAATGCAAAAAATAATAATAATAATATAATAATAATAAATAAAACAAAATAAATAAATACATAAAAAATACATAAATAAATAAAATAACTCTACAAAATAAATTAATATTAATAATAAAAAAACAGTTACATGAAAATCCTCAGAGTAGCCACCATTTCGATAAACAAAAATTCTAAAAATTTGCCTAAGTAAAGGGTGGCTACTTTTTATTTCTGTATAAAATATTCTTTTAAAGTACTAGTTACTTAAGTTTTTTTTTTTTTTCCTTTGCCACAAAATTCCATATATTTTACATATATTTGTTGTCTTCTGTATGTATAAAAAGGAAACATTGAATGAGCTGTTGTGTCCAAACTTTTGACTGGAAGTGTACATCATAATGGAAAATTATTCTACATTTACAACAACAAAAAGTCCAATCTGCCCTTCAAATCCCTATTTTCTAACACTTGCTTTTCCCTTCACTAACAAACAGCTTTATCTAATCCTTTTGGCTCCTTCTATTGTCTTACAACCAAAACACAAACACACTTGGCTGCTATCAAAAAGTAACCAAAGAAAAAAGTAATAAAAGTTAAAATGAAAAATGTGTGCACTAAACAACAGCAATTGCCTGCCACGCTTTGCTCTCTGGTCAGAACATGTGTCTATATTGATTTTTACTGCAAAAAAATACTAACGCAGTGACGGCTACTTCATAATGGGACTTAATCCTAATCTGTAATGCTTTGTTGTAGCACCTTAATATTTTGGTGACTTAATCTTTGCATCTTGTTTCTTTCATAGTCTCAATATGTGACCTTTGTGTTTCCTCTGTTGTTTTTAATTTGAGTGTGTTTTTTAAAGGTCGTATATTATGCAAAATAGACTCTTGGGAGCTTTAAACCATGTTATAATGTTGTTAGGGATGGAACAAAAACTGAAATATCGTGAAATTGTATCGTCAAAAA